ACAATATTATATTAGCTTCAGTTGTAATCAGTATGTAATCACACATAGTGATTCTACAATAATATACATTATGAAATGCTCACCATGATAAGCATAGCTGTCATCTGTCATTATACAAGGTTATTACAATATTATTGACTATATTCCCTATGCTGTACTTTTCACTTTTAACATACACAACATTGTCACCATGTGTATAAAGATGTTATTTTAAAGTAATGATAAAAACTTTAAATTAATAATTACAATTTTAAATAATAATAATCATAATTTTTAATAAATAATAATTTTGAAAGTCTAGAATTCATCGGATTCCTCTTTTTATCACCTCCCATGTACAATTCTTCCCAAAGTCTTGAAGTTCTGTATTAAGAATAGAATCACTTTTCATCTTTTCCTTACCTCCAGTGTTTTTACCCTAATTGGAGCCACTAGTATCCTTCATTGCAAAAGTCTCCTGCCTTGTTCCCTTCCTTCTATCTTCAGCCACAACAATCCCTTATCAGACCAACTGCAACAATCACATAAAGATACAAATAATATTATACGCTGTCTTTACTGAAATTATCAAACATCTTTCCATTGCAACTAAAATAAAATCCAAAGTCCTTACTGCCCTCCAAACATTCTGTGTAATGGCACTATTTTGCTGACCCTTTCATCTCTTTCTTCATGTTCACTACCTTGCAGGAATGTGGGTATTCTAATGATTTCTTTTTCTCAAAATAACCTTTTAATTGAACAAAATGTGGAGCAAATTTGGAAAACAACAGAAACGTTAAGTTCAATAAAGTTTCACTAGCTGAACAACAATGTGACTGATACGTCAAGAAAATAATAGCATGTGACCAGTATCCCGGTAGTCCTCCTGTATCCTCTCCCAGTCATCACCTGCCCCCAAATATCATCAGTACCGTGACATCCAACACCGTGGATATGCAATTCTTGTTTTTGAAATAAAGGGAATCATGCAGTAGGAATTCTTTGTTGCCTGGATTTTGCATTGAAATTGTGTTTATGAGATTCATTCATTTTGGAACTGTAGTTCATTCTCACTGCAGTAGCCTTTTTTTGTGAAAATCAACCACTATTTATGAATCCACTTTACTGACAGGCATTTTAGTATTGCCCAATTTTAAATTATTTTCAGTGGTGCCACTGCAAACATTCATGTTCATATATCTTTGCATACTTCTGTTACATGCATACTTAGGATTCTGATGGCTGTCAAGGGATGGGAAGATGGTCAGCTCTAGTGAATATGGCTAATTTTTCAAAAATACTTATCTGACTATTATTCCCATCAGAAGTATATGAAAATTTCAATTGTTCTGCCCTCTAGCCAATCTTGGTGGTATCTGCCTTTCTCACATTAGCCACTTCAGCAGGTATATGGAGGTAAAACATTGTGATTTCGATTTTCTTTTCTCTTACAACTGAGGCAGTTGAGCACTTCATCAGTTTATTGGAAATTTGGAAATACCCCTCCATGAATTGTCTGTTCAAGCCATTTGAACACTTTTCTATTTGTTCATTGCTTGTTTTCTTGTTGATCAGCAGAGGTGTGTGTGTGTGCGTGCCTGTGTGTGTGCGTGTGTGTGTGTGTCTGTCTGTGTCTGTATATTCTGGACACAAGTTCTTTCTGAAATATATGTATCACAACTAGCTTCTCCATCTCTGTGGCTTGCCTTTCTGCAATTGTAGCAGTGTTTTGATAACCAGAAATTCCTAACTTTGATGAAATCTAGTTTAGTATTTTGCCCCCTTATAATTATGCTTTTTATTCCCTGTTTACGGAACTTTTCCTATCAACAAGATCATGAAGATATTCTCCGCTATTTTTTTTTAGTTCTATTGTTTTGTCATCAGATCTATAATCCACCTGGAACTAATTTTGTATATGTTATAAGGTAAGGGTCATATCTTTTTAGCCCCATAGCCAAATCCAGTTGATCTGAGCAGCATTTATTGAAAAGAACAGCCTTTCCCCACTGCACTGCAGAGTCACCTTTGCCATGAATCAAGTTAACTATGTACATGTGAGTCTCTTGTTAGAGTCTCCATTCTGTTCCACTGGCCTATACATCTACCCTAAGAGTAATCCACACTGTCTTAACTACTGCAGCATTGACATCTGGTAAAGTTCTCTAACTTAGCTATATTTTGATATAGTAGTTCCTAACTATTCTTAGTCACTTGTCTTCCCATGCAAAATTTAGAATTGTCAAGGGCTACTCACAAAAATGTGATGAAATTCATGTATACATTCAAATTTTTCAATTAGAATTTTAAGTAATCTTGTCAAATTCTACAAAAATAATTGTACTGAGATTCATATGCATTGAATGTATAGGTCAATTGGGGTAAAGATAAATGGAAAAACATCTGTGTTTATGGAGTAGAAAACGTAGTATTGTTAAAATGTCCATACCTCCATTAAATTTTCCATTAATGAGCGGTCTTTGCTAAAATGTGTGATGCAGAATATGCTAACTTACTTGGGGATTCAGAATCTGTTTGGGGCACCTTTTGTTCTGCCCACACTATTTACTTTCTCAGTAACATAAGATATCCAGAGCTGTCAGGTGGGAAGATGTGGTGCCCAGGACTCTGAGATTATTGGGCTGATCAGGAAAGGAGTCCCAAGATAAAAGCCTCACAGGACCAATCAGGGGGCTCAGTGACAAAGGAGGAACTCCCATTTATTCTTTGGCAATATGATAAGATCCTGGGTGTCAATCGGTCCTGGAGAGAGGAGAAGAGAGGGTAACATCCCTTCATGGATGAGAGTTGGGACAGGATGAGTGACGCTGGTGGAGGAGGGTGAAATCAAGCTCCAGAGCTCAGGACAATTCTAGAAGGAGAAAATCCCCTGGACAGGAGACTCCTCTTCCATGTAACCTTCCAGTTGGCAAATGCACAGCACGCTCAACTATCTGCCATGGTGCACTCTCCCTTCTCTCTGCACGTCCATACCTGTCTCCTACCAGACTATGAGATTTTCTCGGGCTGCACTGCACAGCCCAAATTTCCTTAGTCATTATGGTGTCCTCCCCCACACCCAGACCTGGCTCCTGGTGGGAGGCTCCATGGTCTTTGGGCGAATGATGGTGACATCATTTTACCCCAAACCTCAATGCTGCAGATAGGTGTGTGGTGTAGATGGTACCTTCATTTACTCTGCAGAAAATATGGGGAGGAGACACTAGGCTGGAATATGAAGTGCATAAGATCCAGCTCTGGGATCTCTAGAAAAGACTATCTCTGGGCATTCCAGCCCAGAGAGGTCTCCCCTCTGGTCTCATATACCCAAACGTCACTGAGGACCAGGAGCATTTGAAGAAAATGCATCTCTCCCTGTGATCCTCCACCCGCCCCATCACACACACACACTAGATCCCGCCAGAGGAAGTATCAATGTTGTCATTCCCTGAAAAGCTGCCAAACTAGAGTTTTGCATGCAAAGAGGGAATCTGGCGGGTGTGTTCAAGAACTGACTAAGACATGGGGACACCAGAAAATGGTGGGGAAACCCCATCTGGTTCCTTCCTGCCCAGGCTGAGCCCAGGATTAAAGGACCCTGCTGTGGGCTTCATGCACTTGAGTTCCCGAGGCCTGGAACAGCCTGGAGAGGCGGGTGAGCAGGAAGGTGAGCAGCAGCTTTCAAAAGGGCCATCAGTAGGTTCCTGTAGGAGGGAATGAGAGATTGTGTAGTTATGGGTTAGGGTGGGGTACAGAAAAGAGAAGAACAATGGCCAGAGATAGCAATAGGAAGGGAGAAGCAAAAAAGGCCAGAAAATAAAGACTAGGTGACAGAGACAGCGAGCTGGGAGAACTGAGGTGCATGTGACGCACAAAGTCAGGGGTTTGTCTGATCAGTGTCGGGAAACTGAGGTCTACAGGCAAACCCAGCCCACCATGTGTTCTTGTAAATAATGTTTTATTGGCACACAGTCACACCCATCTGTCCTGTGCCTGGCGATGGCACAGGGGAATAGCTCTGACAGACTGGCCTGAAAAGCCTAAAATATTTACTGTCTGGCCCCTTACAGAACATGTTTGCTGACCTCTGTTCTAAAGTGGGAGGTAATTTGAGATTAATGTGATAGATTAGAGATGAAGGTGTAGATGAAAAGGGTGCAGGTCAGCCAAATGGATGTCAGGAAAGCTTAGCTTGCATAATCCCCAGTCTGTGTCTTTGCTCCACCTTGAATATTTCTCTTATTTTGTGGTCAAGCTTCTGACCCCAGCTCAGAGCATGAGCCATCTAGTGAGGACCTGGGCTGGATGCCTGGCCGGGGTTTCCTGCTGACTCTGGCTCTGCTCTCGATTCCAGCTCTTTAAGATAGTCATTGGGAAGGCCATTAATTATCCTTGAAGAAGCAATGATCTAGTTTAAAGTGGTCAGGAATGATATGGAAAGACTAGAGAAGTGGTCCCAGGGGGCACGGTAAGGGGAAGAAATGCCCCAGCCAGAACAGGGGCATAGTCCCAGAGAAAGGAAACATTTCCTGGTATCTGGAAGAAATAACAGTCCAATCTCTCCAACTCAGACCCTCTGCACCAACAGGTCTTACAAAATGTAGCAGGTGCTCTGTTGTCCCCCAACTTTTCTTCAAGCTGACTGTCCTAAGGACATTGTACCTTGCATTTGGGGGTACACTTTCCTGGTACTTTCCAAGCTCTTTCTTGCCCCTTGACTCCCTGCAGAGTGAGCACCCACCCTTTAAAGGACACGGTGCAGTCCCAGTACCACCTCTCCCGGTGGGGCAGTCAGAACAGCATCTGCGGGGCAGCACCTAGAAATTTCTCTGTGTCGGCTGCTGTGGTCCATGGGGGCTCCTGTGGAATGGGTGGCCTTGGTGGGGAGGGAAAGAGAGCTGTCAGAGCCTTGATATGAAAGAAAAGGGTGGCAGGAGGGTGCTTCTCCCTTGTGCTAATTTGGAAATAATCTCCACTGATGTTGCCTGGCTCTAAAGGGCTTTCCTTCTTCCTTCCAGTTTATCTTCAAATCTGAGGATAATGTCTTACCAGCAGCAGCAACAATGCAAAGTCCCCTGCCAGCAGCCTCCCCAGGTCCCTGAGCTGTGCCTCCCACCCCCAACCCAGCAGAAGTGTCCCCCAGTTAAGTGCCCCTGCTGCCAGCAGAACTATCTGCGGAAGCAGAAGTAACACCTCTGAAGCCACCTTTCTGGCCTGATCATGAGGTTGCTGCGTCGCCTGGCCCACCCACAAGCCCTCACTCCGCACACGCCCAGAAGATGCTGCCTTCAGACTCCAGAAGGTATCGGCATCGTCTATTGGGTTTTCCTCTCCAAATCAGCGACTCTTCCCAGCCCCTCTCCCAGGAGACTGTCTGGTGTAGACAGCAGTGCCACCGTCTCTTACCTTCCCCGAGGCCGACTGGTCCTCCCCCTTCTGCTCCACTGCTGTGTCCAGACCGGGCCGACTTGCCAGCCGCTGTCCCCTTACCACACTGCCCCCTGCTGGTTGTATGCGATCACTACAAGGACCCAGATTTCCAGGCTCAGCAATCTGCCTCCCTGGGGTTCAACAACTTTAGGAAGGTTTCTAGTAGCTAATATGGTTGAAAAATCAAAAGAAGAAAAACTGTTTTAACCCATCCAAATTTTCCAGAGTTCTTCAGAGCACAACTCCACTCTCCTGAGGGAGATAACAAGGTCTTTTGTTCGGATTTACTCCCTAATTGTCTCCACACCCCTCACAAAGCTCCTCTCCTTCTGGACTTGAGCCTATTTAGGGTATTCCAACCTCTGCGGTCTTCCTTCCTCCCTGCTCCGCAATAAAACTTCTTTATCCAGATAGGCCATGTCTCTACTATCTTGCTGGGGCTGGAAGAAAGTCACAGGAACACATGAGGTCCTGAGAAAGGAAGCAGAAACTGAGGGGGAATCACTGGGAAGGCCCTGGAGGCATCCAGGCTCATGGGGCAGGGAGATGGCACCCTGAACAAGCCGGAAGGTCTCTTTTTTTTCCTCTCTGCTCTCCCATGCTCAGTGTCCCAAAGGGCCAGCTGTCTCCCAAGCCTACCTCTATGTCCATGTTCATTCTCGAGGACTCACCAATCATTGATTAGCACCAATAAAGTGTCTGGAACTGATAAACCCTGGAGAAAGAGAATCAGGGGCTGAGGCCCTTGGGAGTGGCCTCCTCAGAAGTCTGTTGAGGTGGTGGGGACAGATATGGACAGCAGGGACCATTAGATGGCATCTGACCAGGACATACATCACGGAGCAGAGGGCATGTGGGGCTGATCTGTGTAACTGGATGGTGAAGACAGCAGAGCAGAGGGTGACTCCTTAATGTCTTACCTGGGCACCTTCCCTGGGCTCCTGTGGGTCACAGGAAGACCTTCCATAGGAGCTAATCATGTCAGTGATTATGGAAGTCTGATTCTGATCACGTCCATGTTCCCCCAGTTCTCCTTCTCCTACCAGCCACACAGTAGGATCTCTCATCTCCACGGGGGTAAAGCCAGGTCACAGTCAATTAAAAAATATACCAAAAGGGCAAGAAATTTCAAGCACAACCAAGAGTGGGTGTAGAAGAGAGAGAAAAGAATGAATTTTTACCTACCATAGGACTGGAAAGGGTTGTGTGTGGGGGTGGGGGGGTGTCTCTTCCCAAACTCCACCCAATTTCCCTTCTCCCAGTTGACTGTAGGTTTCTGGAATGTCCCCATGGGTTGATTTCAGCTCCTGAAACAGAGAGAAACCAGAGACGGCTTCCAGTGCTTATTCTAAATCTTGTTATTAATCTCTTTACCTGGTCTTAACTCCCTGGTTAGGTTGTCTCTGCTTTGTAGCTGTGTAGTATGCATGTTCTCTACAATTTCCAAAGCCTGGAGTCTTTTTCAAGATGAGCAGGCAGAATTTCTTAAATAACTTTAAGCTGAAACTACTTCTTGAATAGGTAAGGACCTCCATTCATTCCCTGTCCTGCCTTGCCCAACCTGCTGCGAAGGAAGGAAATCGGCTCAGTGTCACAGGGACGTCAGATGCAGTGAGACGAGAAACCAAAGTCAAGAACGCAGAGTAAGTTTTAGTGCACTCTGCACAGAGTATCAGAGCGGGCCTGCCTAAGGTGAGAGAGGCCCGGATGCTCATTCTGAGGCTTCTTTTATGCAGTTTTGGCAGGGCAGAGAGGTCCTTGATTGACAGCTCTTAGCTCTCTAGGCTTATTCTGATTGGTGAAATGGGGACTGGGCCTGTGCTTCTCTGATGTTTATCTGGGGAGACCCTGGACATTTCCTGAGTCACCCTTGGACCCTGTGGCTTCATCTGATTAAGTCTCTGAGTCATTTCTGGCTCTCTGGCTCTATCTGACCCACTCCCTGAGTCATTTTGGCAAGGCCCTCTCTCCTTTTCATCCCGCTCATTTCGGTTTTTCTGCCTAACAAAACCACTAAAGTGTTTTACCAGCTGGGAACTGGTCACATCAAAAGATCAGAGACTCTTGGGCTACGCCTGCCTAAGGGGCACAAGGCAAGTCTCTCACTGAGGCACAGACTAGGATGAAGCTTCATTTCTTATTCTGAGAGATCGGTCAGAAGAAACCTTCTGCTAACCTACCAGTCCAGGAAGCCTTCCCAGTGAAGAGAAGAAAAGGTGCAGTATCCACCCATGAAAACAGCTGGGGAACAGAGGACTGGACAAGCCACGGGAGGGTCAATGCACAGGAAATTTCTAGAAAGAGACAGAATCCCCTCTACATCATCCCTGGAGGAGACACCCACCCCTACACCCAACCTGGCTTCCTCAGCGTGTTGATGAGACTTTTGTCATATGTCCCCATTCTTGAACTCTGTACCTAAACATCTATAACCACCCTCCACCCTGGACTGCGAGCTCCTCCGGGGCTGTCTGATTCTTCACACTTTACATCGCCCCCAAAACATACATACACACACACACACACTCAGGGGCTGGCCTCTCGTGGAGGCTCAAGGACTGTTTAGCTAAGTTCTCTGACACTCATTTGATCCTAAAGGTCAGAACTGGAAGTGACATGTGTTGATGTTGATGGTAATTTTATTTCAAGTACTGAAGAAGACAGTGTGACTGTGTGGGGGGTAAGAAAGGTGCTGACTTCCCAACCTGGAATCCTGGTAGAAGGCCTGTTTCCTGGGGATGAGGGGCTCAGCGAGTCCTTCCTGCTTGTCTCCTCGCAGACACCAGGACACCCCAAGGCCCAGCACAGCTGAGCAAAGTGGGCTGCCTCTACCCCCTTCTCCACTCCCTCATCTGCATCCACAGGCTGCCGAGCAGAGGTCCACCCAGAGCTCAGAGCAGCAGCATCTCCGCAGGCCTGTGAGCACTACACGGTCACCAGAGCCCCTTGATGCACAGCCTCGACCCCGGGCTCCAGTGGGTGCACCACACTTGTAGATGAGGGGACCAGAGACCCAGATCAGAGTGGTTCTGATGGGCCTGGGCTAGAACTCCACTTTCTTGGCTCCCCACACTGTGCTCCTCCTTGGCAGTCACCTTGAGCTTGTGCTCAGACTGGGGTAACAAGAGCCTTTGGTTTTTACGGGATATTATTTCTGATGCTTGATTTTGACTTTTTAATTGGCCGATTCAAACTGACACGTATTAAGTTTCCTGAAGACACAGAGATCAGATTTTAAAGTAATGGGGGAAAGCATAGATGGGGAAGAGAAATAGCCAGTTTGTCTAAGGCAAAAGACAACAGAGCCTCTTAACTGGCACAGATCAGATGACAGGGAAATTTGCAGGACACCCTAAAAGTCAGCCAGTCCTGCCTCCCACCAAATCAAATATTCTCTGTCAATAGGCCTTTAAAAGGTTGGTTGGGACTTAATTAAATATTTACTGGGCTAGAATGCCTATAAACATGGGAAAAGCTGCTAAAAAGGGGTAAGAATTTTTAGGGGCTTCAACTTCATCTCTTACCACTCCCCACCACTCACTCTGTTCCCACATTCTGGAGTACTTGGGGGCATTCTCCTTGAGGGGTAACCACGAATTATGCGCAGTCTTATGCCATTCCAAACCTTGGCTTCCTGAGACTAAAGCTCCGCCGCTCAATTTTCCCATTTCCTAACAAGTACTGCAGGTAGATGCCACCTGCCGGTGAAACAGGTACTGGGTCATTGCCATGTGAGCACGATCCTCGTGGAGGGCAGGACCCAGGACAGCTTCCCCTCTGGGGCTGGGAAGACGTGGACAGACAAGGGCCATCCTCGGGCAGCCCCAGAGACCTCCCCTCAGCTAGAGGGGGCTAGGGGTCACGGCAGTGGATGAAAAGGGTAGGAAAATCTTACTCCCTAGAATAAGAAAGTGGCTGGTAAACGGGGCTCGGCTCTTCTCCAGCGTGAAAGCTCAGGATTACGGGCCTCCACTGTTGTCGCTGCAGATGACAAGCTTATCTCCTGTTTCTGGCAGGCCTTCACCAATCCGGGAAAGATGTCCTGCGGCAGCCCCCCTCCGTCCCTCCGCCTCCCCGTGTCAGCAGGAACGCCACCAAAGGGGCGGAGCTCTCCTGAAGACCCCGCCCTCAAACAGCTGAGCATTAAGTTGCCCCCTGCCCCTCTGCATTCCCTTCCTTTCAACGCCCGCAGAGACCACCCCCCAGCCGGGGAGCTATTATCTCTTCCATGTGAAAGGTATCCCTACGGACCACCGAGCTGACTGCAGGTCATCAGCAGTCTCCTTCCGGCAACTCCTCCAGGAAACAGCGAGGACGGGATGAGGAGCCATGTCTCAGGCACCCTTCCTGGACACCAGACCTGTTCTTCCTTCCCTGTTCTGACCCTGCTGCAGTGAGAAGTCCCGACTGTTAGAGGCCGCCTCCACAGCCACTACTGCCCCCTGCTGGCCAAGCCGTGATGTTCAAAGGATGCAACAGGCCTGCCTTTGCTCTTTGTACCCCTGGGTTCCACTCTTTGGAAGAAATTGAGTAACAAGGTAAAAGTATCCTAAACAATTTAAATTCTTAAGAGGTTCCTTACTTTCCAATCCCTCACCCTCGACCAAGACAATTTCATATTTCCTATTAATCACTTCCTCTCCTCTGAAGAAGCTGACATATTGGACTGCTTCTGCCCCCAGCCTGCTCTGGACTCCCTCGGAGGAATGTTCCTTTATGCTCCTTCCAAGAAAAGCAACGTCTCAGAGGGGTTCCTGACTCTGCTGTCTTGCTGGGCCTGGGAAGGGGAGACTGTTTCCTACCAGGAAAGAATGACCAGGGCAGGCAAGTAGATCCTTAAGGGAAGCCCTTAAAGACTTGGGGACAGTGAAGAGGGAGGCAGGGGAGCAGTTAAATCAGGAATACCCACTGGCCTACAGAAGGCCCAGGTGTTTTCCTCCCAAGTCCCCGTCCCTGAGGAAGGACTTGCGGGCACGGCTGGTGGGAAGGGCTTGCAATGGAGCCTCCAGCACAAGGCTGTCAGGTGCTGGGCAGGAAGAATGCTCTGTGGACTCAGCAGGTGGGAGTTTCAGCCCAGGGTCAGACCCTGAAGTGTGCACCGACCCTGCCTGGGGCCTTCCCTGCAGGAGACTGTCCACTGAGCAATCCACTCAGCAGGCCTCTGGGGTGTCCACGCCTAAGATATGGAAGCCAGGAAGTCCAATGCTGCAGTGAAGAGTTCAGAAAACTTCCACGCATTCATGGGATTCCTCTGGTTTCAAAAATTAACACCCATATCTTTTGAGCCATTTGTGATTTTCATTTCTCAAATTCACTGTTAAATTTTACCTTATCCAACCAAATGACAGCGACTGAATGAGCATCCACTACACTCACTGGGAGCTGGGAGCTGGGGATTCTGCGATAAAGAGCCCAGGACCACTCCAAGAAGTTGCTCGTCTTCCAGGTGCAGGGGCCGTGATGGGACACTCAGCACAGAAATGGAGGTGCCAAGCATGCATGGAATGGTCTAGGGGCAGGGGGTGCAGACCTGGTGGAGGACCCAGGACTAGTGAGATGCTAAGGGGAGTCTGCACACTGAACTGAAGGCTAATGGTCAGAGAAGGAAGGGAAGGGCATTCCATGCTGCGGCAACAACCCCTGAAAACTAACTTATCTCCTACATTCCATCAGAAATTTATCCTATGACTTTGCCCAGTAAGCATCTACTGATGTCAAGTTTTGGCTTGACTCTGCTCTTAGAACTGGGTACTTAGCAACACTGTGAAGCCAGGGGTGAGATGGGAAGACAAAGAGGAAGTGGATAGTTTTAACTCTCAATACAGCAGCCAATCTCTTATCAATGCCAATATCAGGGTTAAGTGATAAATGGAATTTTGACCTCGCTTACCCAGGAGTCAGGCCAGTGGCACCAAGCCAGTCCTGGGGTTATTCCTCCAGTTCCTGAATGACTAGTTGGAACCAAGAACCCCAACAACTGGCAGAATCAGCAAATTATTTCTCTCAGCATGGACCAGCGGCTCAGTAAATGGTTACTGATTACCCAACAATTTTAGAGAAGAGTAGAAATAGATCCATATTGTTAAAAAATGATTAAAGAAGACAATGTAGGTGACACAAACTTTACTCAGTAATTTATGAAGCAGGCAGTCTCCATTCCCACTAGTCCAGAGAACTGAAAAATGAGGCAGAAGGCAGGAAGCTTTTATAGGATAAAGAATAAGAAACAAGGAAGAGAAAAATAGAAAAAGAATAAGAAACAGGGAAGTACAGGGCCCAGAGTTGGTTTGTAGTTTGGGGATTGGCTGGTGGATATGCCGCGTTTCTGGCCAAGCAGAGCATTTACAGGACTTGAAAGCTCTGTTTGGGTTTGCTAATGTGGTCCCCCTATGTGGGCAGGAGGGGCTCCATCCCGGGCCTAGACATTTATTTCAACAACCTTCTCATCCACAAGCCCATCTACCGAGTAAGAGGACACAGGCCTTATATTTATAATTGAAAAATCCCAGAACTCCTCTCTCAGAGCCTTGGGCTCCCGGCACCATGGAGTGTTTCCTGGCACAGAATCCACAGAGCAGGACCCACAGTGCCTCGCTGGGCAGACTTACAGTTGGGAGCCCAGCCCCAAAGTCCCACCTCCCTTGAGCCCTGCAAACGCGGACACCTCCAACACCGGCACTCCCCATCGTCCCTGCCCGCTACACCTGCCCCGAGGCAAGGAGGGAAGTGGGGACTCGGGTCAGGCTGTGGGCAGCGCGGGCAGTTTGAGAGCACGTGGGAAATGCTGGATGCCCCAGTTCCAGGAATTCCGGCACCTCCTTCCCGTGGTCCCCGACCGCCCCCTGGTGGCCTGTCCAAGCACCTGCACAAGCCCAGGCCCAGGCCGCACGCACCCTTCCCACCTGCTGCATTGGCCCCTTCCCTTCCCAGCACGAGCCAGTGAGAGGAGTCAGACCCACGTAGGAACACCTGAATTTACTAAAGGAAAGGGGAAGGGGGAGGTCGTGACATCACAGAGCTGGGGGTGTCCACATGGTGTCAGCTGTCTCGAGATGAAGGGGTGACCAGGGAGGTGATGGGGAACAGAAGGCCCCGTTGTCATAACTGAAGAGTATGGGAGAGTGTCGGGGTTGGGGGCAAACTTGGAGGAACGTCCCAATAATTTAGGTCAGTTATTTGAAAGCATTTTGGCTTCTCAAACTTCAAAAAATTCAAAAAATTGCAGGAGGCAGAGCCGAGGAGGAAGCTTCCACCATTCGATAATCTTCTCAGGCTTACGAGGGAGCAGACAGGCAGGGCGGCAGCGACGTCTGGACGGACGGCCACCCTGAACACCGCGGATGTGCCCATGTGGTGCCGGGAAGGCCTGCATCACAGGGTGCGGCAGTCTCTTCTGTCTGCTTTCTAGTTATGGAAGCTGACGGGAGCCAGTCGAATCATTGTCTGGAAAACCTGTGAATGGAGCTGCCATTCTCTTCAGAGTCAGCTGAGAGGTAGAGTCCCCTGGGGATCTGTGGTGTTCCCTGAAGTTGCTGGAAGGAAGGAGTCGGGGGACTGGAGACGATGCAGCAGCTCATGCCCAAGGTGAGGGCATGGTGGCTTCAGAGCTGTCACTTCTGCTTTGGCAGGTGCTTCTTCTGGCATGGGGGATGCTGCACAGGGGAGCATTTCTGCTCGCTGGGAGGTAGGAGGACAGGCCCAGGCTCCAGGGGTGGATAGGGCTCCGGAACCCCAGGTGGAAGGACAGGCCCAGGCCCCTCGGGTGGATAGGGCTCCTGGACCCCAGGTGGGAGGACAGGCCCAGGCCCCCTGGGTGGATAGGGCTCTTGGACCCCGGGTGGGAGGGCAGGCCCAGGCCCCTCAGGCGGATAGGGCTCCTGGACCCCAGGTGGGAGGGCAGGCCCGGGCCCCTCGGGCGGATAGGGCCCTGGGACCTGGGGTGGGAGGGCAGGCCCGGGCCCCTCGGGTGGATAGGGCTCCTGGACCCCGGGTGGGAGGACAGGCCCAGGCCCCTTGGGTGGATAGGGCCCTGGGACGGTGGGTGGGAGGGCAGGCCCAGGCCCCTCGGGCGGGTAGGGCTCCTGGACCCCGGGTGGGAGGGCAGGCCCAGGCCCCTTGGGCAGATAGGGCCCTGGGACCTGGGGTGGGAGGGCAGGCCCAGGCCCCTCAGGTGGATAGGGCTCTGGGACCTGGGGTGGGAGGGCAGGCCCAGGCCCCTCAGGTGGATAGGGCTCTGGGACCTGGGGTGGGAGGGCAGGCCCAGGCCCCTCGGGTGGATAGGGCTCTGGGACCCGGGGTGGGAGGACAGGCCCAGGCTCCAGAGGTGGATAGGGCCCTGGGACAGCGGGTGGGAGGGCAGGCCCTGGCCCCTTGGGTAGATAGGGCCCTGAGACGGTGGGTGGGAGGGCAGGCCCAGGCTCCAGGGGCGGATAGGGCTCTGGGACCCCGGGTGGGAGGGCAGGCCCAGGCCCTTCGGGTGGATAGGGCTCCGGGACCTCAGGTGGGAGGGCAGGCCCAGGCCCCTCGGGTGGATAGGGCTCTGGGACAGGAGATGGGCAGGGCTCCGGCACCTTGGTGGGGTGGGGCTTGGGGACTTGGGGAGGGGGCTGGAAGGGGACTTTGCATTGCTGCAGCTGCTGGTAGGACATCCTTCCTGGATTGATGAAGCCTGCAGGTAAAAAGAGATGAGCATTTTAGGCAGGAGGGGAGAGTGTGCAGCGTTCTTCCATGGATACCCTGTCTCTTCCTACTCCTCTCTAATTCTCAGAGCCTCCAGCCTTCCTGTCTTGCTCTCTGCCTTGATGGTGAGTCAAGAGGAGCATCTGATAACAGAATATTCACCCTGCAGCTGCCCAAGGTAAATTCTGACCTAGAGAACTGGGGCCCATTCCAGGCTCTGTCCCTAAGAAGGACATGCTCCTGGTGGATCAAGTCAGGGGAAAGGCAGTAGGAATGGCCTAGAGTCAAAATACTGTGCCGTAAAGAAAAGGAGAAGCTGGGGGTGATCATCCTGGGGAAGAAAATGTTTGAGAGGCAATAATGCAGCCTGCATTCACCCAAGGGCAGCCCTTCATGGGGAACAAGACCATCTGTGGGCCTGCAGAGGGGATAAGCAGCATGGAGGGGTGAGAGGGTAGGAAACTGGTCCCTCCCACTTTGGACTGGCCCAAGGCTGAAGCATCTGCTCAGGGGTTGCACGGCAGACTGTGTGGATGCAGATTTTAATGCAGTGGGACTTCCAGTGTGCCCTGCACATCATCCTGTCTTTGGGTCTGTCTGTCTGTGATTGACAGAGACAATTCTCTCTTTCTCTGCTCTCTCTCTTCTCCCTTCTGTACACTCCAGAGGGAATCCTGGCAACTCTCTGCAGGCAGTATATATGTTCCCACACTCAAGGGCCAAATAAAAAATCAGAAAGAAAGAACAAAGACAATAATCCATAGGAAATCAGAGCCACCAGGTTGCTCAAGTACCAAGAACACAGCTCAGCGCTTCAGCTTAATCCCATGACAGATGGCCTGTCATGCTCGGAGCAGCAGGCAAGAAGCTCTAGCTAAGGAAACAAGCACAGTGGTAAAGAGAGAAGAGGAATGGAAATGGAGCTAGAGAAGAGAAGGGCTGGGGCCAGTTTTACTACAAACCATATTGTGGCCCGGGACATAGTTTTACTCATCTAAAATTTTCATCACATTGAAAACCGGGATCTCACATTCCATTCCTCTCCGTGGCTGACGGGTCCCACCTCCCATGTCTCTTTCTGCCGTTACTACTCTCCTGTTGCTTCTCTGGATTTTCTCCCCACCCCACCCCCTGTATCCTCCACTCTTCTAGAAATTCTCCTCATATCCTGTACTCCTTAACTTACACAGTATTGCATGTCAGTCTTATCTCAATAAAACTGGATAGATTTGCTCCTTGCAGCAAAACCTAATTAGTTAATATTCCTTTAACAATGTAAAAAATTAAAAAATAATTCTCTAGATTACCAAAAAAGAGAATGCCCATGCACAGCTGCAAGGGAGCAGAGCAGCCTCACTCACCTGCGTCCTGCTGCTCCTGAGATCAGGGATCCGAGTGGCGTGAAGACGGCCACACCAGGGCCCTTTTATCCTGGGTGCAGCCGGACAAGGAGGAAGCTGGATTTCCCAACAAGTTTCATGTGCTCGGGTATCACTCGGCTTGCTGAAAACAGCTATCAATCTCCCACATTACACCAAAAACTCCAGTTTGGCAGCCGCCTGATGATTAAGCACATGTTTAAGCACTCTGCAAGGATTTCTTCCAGGGAGGGGGAACATTACTCAGCTGATCAGCCATCCCTGGGGTTGGCAGTGGTTTTAGACAAGGTCTAAAACCCTGCAATCCTGACTCCCCAGGAACAGGCCTTCTTCAAAGGCTTTAGGGCTGGACTTCAGCACTGTTTTTAACACCAGCCGTCTCTCTCTCTCTCCCTTCCTTCCTGATACACGCACGCATGCGCCCACACACACATTTGGGGAAACGAGATCGCCAGCATCAGCACACACCATCTCAAGCTGTGACATTTGGGGTCAACTGATACCAGGTCAGCTAGTCATCAAGTCATCACTGAGCACCTCCCAGGCCTCAGGCCCCCAGCCAATGGGCAGGACACAGTGATAGATAACTGAGACCCGGGCTGGACCTCGGTGTGGCTCAGACTAGTGCAGGAGTCAGATAGTAGTCATCCAGTCACAGGCAGGTGACAGGACAGGAGTTTGGTCAGTGTGCCGTGGGGCTGCGGGAGCCACGGCAGGGGCCAGGACACAGGTCACAGGGTCACTTCTGAAGTATGTCTATCCAGTGGTGGTGAGGTGGATTTTCTCCCACTCCAGCGCTGCCCTGGGCCAGGGACAGCCTCCCCTTCCCACAAGGTCCTCCAAGAATTCCAGTGCCCTCTCTCCTACTCTCCTTCAGAAGGGGCTCCCGGTTGATCAGAGGCAGGGATAACTTCTCCTGCTTGTTCTAAGTACAGATCCACACCACTCCCCACTGAGCCCTCACAGAGGCACCCGCTGGGTCTGTCACTGCTGATCTTCAGCAGCCCCTCTCCTGAGGGCAATGGTCTTGCAGGTCTGGAGCCACTCTCCCCAGCCATGATATTCTGGTCAAGGGTCTCTAGAGGAAGCCCAGATCAGGGTGTGAAAACACCAGAAGTCCCAGTTCTAAGCCATTTTTACATCAACTGGGTGCTTTCCTCAGACTTGGAGACATCAGGGGCACATTCCATGTTGTTTCTCAGCACAGGGAATCCAGATCTCCAAGGACCTTCCAAAAGCACAAAGCGCGCCATCAGGAGTGGGCTGCAGCCTGCCCATCCCGGGAATGCCGCCTGCATCTGCAGGCCCGTCCTCCACGCCTTCCCAGGGCTTGTCCTTCTGAAAAGGAATGACCGAGCAGGGGCAGCCCTCAGACCTGGTTAAAGCTTCCACTGAAATGAAGAGGAGCGCCTACTCTCTCCCTTCCCAACGCACCCTCCATACCCATCACCCCTGGCCTGCACCAGTCGTTCTCCGGGGAGGGCCCGTGGCCTATGTGCCATCTCCTCTGCTATCTCTCCAGGCAGTTCCAGGCTTCAGATTCGTCAAGTCCCCAAGAGAGGACCAATATTAGTTTGCCAGTTTTGTCTTGCCAGAAGTCAAGAATCAGCCACCAATAATTATTAATTCCTCACATATGTACTAAAGGCAAAAGGGATTGGCGATGTTCTGGCAGTCCCCACCCAGGTTACCTGGAGGTCCATCTCCTCCTCTGGATCCTTCCCGAGACCGCACACCTGCTCCCCGCAGATTCACCCTTGAGGTGACGTAATGACAGGGGCTCATTCTAAGAGGCAGTCTGGATCCCTTAGATCTCAGTTCGAGTTTCAGTTTCGGTGATGCAGGAAGATGTTGACAGGAGATCTCTAGGTTAGCCATAAAGATTTTGTCAGTGGGCAGTATGAACGCCCTAAAATTTTTATGCATCTAAGGGAAGTTCTGTGCTTTAAGTCCACAACTAATTTTCCTCCTCAGGTCCTATAATACTGAAGGCCAAGAGCCAGGGAGTGAGGTTTCTTTTTAATGAACTTTTCCGGCCACCGGAGGCATGCATGCTGATGGGCCCTGGGGGTTGGAGGGTTGGGGGCAGGACTGTCAGGTGCAGCTCCCGGGCAGAGTCAGGTGAGGGCATGAAGTGACAGGTGTGACTTACTGCTCAGTTCCCAACCACTTGGTGACCTGGGGATTCTGTTTCAGGAACTAATTTCATTCCCACCATTGAAAAAACCAAGAGGAAAATGGTGCTTACCAGGGGGTGGAGGGTGGGGATGGGGTGGGTAAGAGTAAAGGTGTTTAACGGCGCAAACTTGGCGCATGTAGTGAATAAGCCATAATGGTCTGATGCACAGTATAATGAATACAAACAGTAATATTGCACTACAGGTATGTAACATGGTAAATACAACCACAAGGATCATGTATATTACATATTACAATATAAATGTATGAAGCAGCCCGTTGTACACCTTCAACTTACACAATGTTACATGTCAAATATATTCAATTGAAAAAAGAGGCTCTTACTCTGTGTGCTGTGCTTACACCCACTCTCTGTCATGCTGCTTCTCTTTCTCTGCTAGTCTGTGGTTACGGTCACCAGCACCACCCATTTCTCCCTCTCCCTCTGATAACAGCAGGCTGGACCATCGGGACCCCTCCCCAGCCTTCCCCAGCCGTAGGCAGGGTGCCGTCTTCTCCCAGTCTCCCCTAGCTTGTCGTCAGAGATTGTAAATCTCAAGAAGAGAGCACCAATGGGCATTTTTACCAGTTTTCAATCTGTCCAGCATAAGGCACAAGTCAGCCTGCAAAGATCTAAACCTCCACTGTAGTCCAGGCACTGGAACAGACAAAGTCCCGGTCCTCAAGGCCGTTGTAGCCAATGCAGAAGGCAGAACATGAAACATGTAATACACAAAGAATGAAAAACATAATGGCAAGAGGTTTCCCATTCTTTCCTGGTAGCAGAATATTACTTCCCAGTACCTAAAAACACCTGAAAAAAAATCAAGCTACACTCCCAAGTCCCAGTTTGACATCCAGCATTTGCATTTCCCCTGGAAGGTCCTTCTCCTTTGGAGTTTCAGGAAGAGCTGGACAGATGTGAACAGACAAAAAAATGGGGTCCCCTAGGAGTTGGGCCTCCTGGGCTGGGATTGAGATCTTCTGGGAGAGTTTTAAGTAGAGAAAAGGGCTGCAGACAGCCCTGAGGCCCTGCACCCATGACTCCGATGGTGGGAGCCAGGGGTTCCTTCACATCATTTTAGAAATAGCAATGGTGTGCCTACAGGGCCCAGGCAGTGGTCCTGGGGTGAGCGTGGCAGTGTGCTGGTGACACACTCCTGCCCTAGAACACACAGGCCAGGAGGCAGGACACACATGTAAACAGTGAGATAAGGCACATAGGAATGGTCAAGCTATGCTCAGGGTGCCACACCACAGGGCAGGGGGACTGACCCCAGTTTGGGACAAGGGGCTGCCCCAGGAGCGGGTCCTTTTCAGAGCCAGCCTGCACCCCAGAATGGGCCTCAACCCTCCCAGAGTTCCACGCATCCCTCACCTCTTGGGGTGACTTGCCCCTTTCACCCCTCCTCCTGTAAGTCTCCCTGGCAGGTCCAAGGAGCTGGACTGACCCCTCTCACAGCAGCACGAGTGTATTTCTTTGTTGTCTGATCATGAACCCAAAGATCAGAGCTATTGCTGAGCCTAAGAACCCCCACAAGCATGAGCAGGTGTCTTGAGGGACGATGAAGGAGTACAAGCAGGATTCTGGATCACTTACAAAAACCGTGAATTTTATTCAAGGGTCTTTAGCTCCCATCTACACACTAGGCTTTGCCCTGGGGTTTACAGTGTGTTTAGTGTGTACATGTCTGTGCAGTCCGCGTGTGCGCATGTGTTTCTCAAGTTGCTAGTGGGGTTGACGATTGCCTGATTTCACCTGCTATGATGGCTAATTTTTGTGACAATTTGGCTGGTTCACAGTACCCAGATATTCAATCAAACATCATTCTAGATGTTTCTAGGAAGGTATTTTTTAGCTGGGATTAACTGAGTATAACAGATCACCCTCCAAAATGTGGGTGGGCTTTATCCTGTCAGTTGAAGGCCTAAATAGAAAACATACTCACTTCCCCCAAAGGAATTGTGTCAGCAGACTGCCTTTGAACTTGAAGTACAACTCTTCCCTGGGTCTCCAGACTACCCTCCTCTTCCACAGATTTTGTAGTTGCCAAACTTCTCCAATCTCATGAGCCAACTTATATATATATATATATATACATACATACACACAAACACACATCCATCCTATTTGTTTTGTTTCTCTAATACACCTGCTCAAAAATACAAGGTGGAGAGGCAGGTGTTTGGCTCACTACTTAAAAAGAACCTTATTGAGGACCCAGAAGCGGCAGCACAGGGGAAGGGAGGGTTGAGAGAAGTTGGATGAGAGAGCCCGGCGCCCTGGAGCCCACCTCCATGAGGACCCTTCACCCTCGGTTTCCACGCTTAAGCAAACCACTCCAGTGGAGCTTGAGGGGATAGCCATGGGCTGACAACACCCATGGAACATGTGTCTCATCCTGAGCTGTTCTTGCGAAAGAGGAATGTCATTGCTCACCAGGTAGTGTCACAGCAGGCTTTTCCGTATAGAAATCCTTCTTCCTGACAAGTGTTTGAAAGAATCAGAAAGCTACGCCTGGAACCAGGAAGTTGGGGGGAGTCTCAGCTCCTCTCCCAGGTGGGACTGAATCTGCAATAAAAGGACCAGAGCCAGGGCCTCCTCAGTTCACTTGGGTCCATCCTCCTAGGACGGGTGTACTTGGAGAGGCAGGTGAGTGAAATGGCTCAGCCACCTGGGGAGAGTCTCATGTCTGCCCAGGCCCCCTTGGGGCTGCAGACCGGGGAGGCCAAATGTGGACCTTGACCCTGGTTCCTCTGAGGGTTTGGTGGGAACCAGAGGGGTCAGTATTGATAAAGGTGGGTGAGTTAGTGGATAGATGCACATGCATCTCATGAATGGAACTTTTAGAAGGATTTCCTTTTGAGAAATTTGGAGACCATTCACTGTAACATATGTCAGATGAGAAAAATGCATGCTAGACATGGTAAGTGACTTATTTAAAGTCCCAGAGGGAATATGAGGAAAGTCAGGACAAACTGGACAGGGGATGTCCCTCCCCATTCTTACTGCAGTGCTTTTTCATCTGCCTTAGTTTGTCTGAAATGACAGGCTGCTGAACAAGAAAATGGGCTTGGGTAGGACCATTAAATTAAAAAAACAACAGCTAAGATGGTTTGTTAATGTTCCCACATTCCAAGATTTGGGGTGTTTAGTTGCACGATGGCTCTTGATTACAGCTTGCTGATTTGGACAGTGAAGTGGTGGGGGCGGCAGAGGAGGTGCATAATACCCCCTCACAGATCGTTCCAGACGAGCTGAGTACAGGGGCATGTGGGGAATGCAGCAACAGGGAAGGGGCAGGGGCTGGCCACAGAGGGGATGGGAGCAGGAGACATGCCTGTGCTGAGGCAGACCCTTGACCTTGTCTGAGGTCAGAGACCACCCGACTGGGAGGAGCCCTGGAGAGCCAGAGAGCAGCCCCCCTCAGCAGAATGAGGCTGAGAGGCTCAGGTGCTCAGATGCCTGACCGTCACTGAGGAGGGTGGATCAGGAAGGGGGGCGTCCTCTGCCATCAGCCCCACGGAGGATGTTCTTGCTCACGGCTAATATGGCTTGTTACAATATCTCTGCTGAAATCTCTCACACACACACCTTTCAGGCGGGGCGGCCTTTCAGGGGTTGATGGGAAGCTCTCCTGCCCCCTCCCCACAGGCTTCTCCACCCCAGGCCAAGCAGGACCCTTCACTCCCACATGCATACCGTGATGCTATTTGGGTTTTCACCCTCAATTTTTCATCCTTGGCTTTTCCCTCTGGACTAGGAAGCACCCACTGGGGACCTGGCTCTCTATCAAATTTCTCTAATTCCTGTGACAGTCTTAAGATGTGGTCACCATCATCTCTTCAAGGGGAAGGCTGAGGAGGAGCAGGGGCAGCTGGCCGCATCCTCTTCACACAGCTAGGAGGCTGGCAGGGTCCACAGCCAAGTCTCCCCCCACTAAGTCCCCATCCTCATGCACACCCTTGGCTGCACTTGAGGCCGGACCTGCTGGCTGCCTCCCCTGAACTGGGCACTCCACAGCCTGCGGAGCCCAGGGAGTGCCCAGGCCAGGAGTCACTCGGGGTGGAGAGAGGTGCTGGTCACAGAAAACACCCTTAGGGCCCTGAAGTGTTTCCGTGGTGCCAGAAAGTCTGGGGGGAAGGCTGTCCCTGAGGGTGATGGCAAGGCTGTGAGGGTTTAACTGAGAAGGCGCCACCAACAAAAAGATACAAAAAAACCCAATAAAGTGTCTTTTATTTATTATAGATTCTCTTCAGCCAAGAAAGATGTCCTATCAGCAGCTGCAACAATGCAAAATCCCCTCCCAGCTCCCTCCCCAGATCCCTGTCCCCTGCCCTCCCCCAGCCCCTGTCCCCTCCCCTCCCCAGATCCCTGTGCCCTTCCCTACCCCAGTCCCTGTCCCCTCCCCTCCCCAGATCCCTGTGCCCTTGCCTACCCCAGTCCCTGTCCCCTGCCCTTCCCCAGTCCCTGTCCCCTCCCCTCCCCAGAACCCTATGCCCTTCCCTACCCCAGTCCCTGAGCCCTGCCCTCCCCCAGCCCCTGTCCCCTCCCCTCCCCAGATCCCTGTGCCCTTCCCTCCCCAGATTCCTGAGCCCTTCCCTACCCCAGTCCCTGAGCCCTGCCCTCCCCCAGCCCCTGTCCCCTCCCCTCCCCAGATCCCTGTCCCCTTCCCTCCCCAGATCCCTGTCCCCTCCCCTTCCCAGATCCCTGTCCCCTTCCCTACCCCAGTCCCTGTCCCCTCCCCTCCCCAGATCCCTGAGCCTTACCCCCCACCTCCCAGCCAGCAGAAGTGCCCCCCTGTGCAGCATCCCCGGTGCCAGCAGGAGTACCTGACAAAGCAGAAGTGACAGCTCTGAAGCCACCCTCCCTGACCTGGTCATAAGGCAACTGGATTCTCTTCCCTCTCACCATAGACTCTATTTTCATCCAATAACACAGACCCACATGCAACCCCATAAGACTCAAGATAAATCAGGAAACCTCCACAGTCAGTCCACCAGCGTCTCCCATCCACCCCAAAGAGACAGCAGAAGTTGGCCGGAAGTGACACGCTCTCAGGAGCTCCATGGAGCCCCACGGTCATGGGCTTCCCGAGCTTCCATCACGGATAGCCGGCACAGCAAGGCCCATCTTCCACCGGCACCGCCTCCACCCGCAGTGCTGTCAGTCTCTCCCTGACAACCTCTACCTCTGGGGACTGAAGAAGAATCACACGTAAGAAAGAAAACATTAGCTTTGCTTCAGGTTTCATAAAGGGAAACAGAATTCGCCTAAAAGAACTTAAAATTCACATGAGAAGCCACTCTCTTCAACTCC